AAGGATGTTGCCATAACTGGGTGTTTTAGACAATGTTGGGAGAGTAACACCAAGGCCATTCTTTTTACACCTAGAATCTATTCTTTTTGCAGCTATATTCCAAAATTCTTGTGGGAATTACACTCATTTAAACTGAGCCATGGAGAGGTCATGAAACTAGCGTTGCTCATCCAGGCAATGTGTACTCCAAAGCTGATCCAAGACGAAGAGGCATCTGGGGCCAGAGATTCCTCTTCACCTTTGTTTTTAAAGAGGAAAGGAATTGAACTGTTCACATTAACCCCACTTGTCTCGGGCTGAGAGAAGACCCTGCAGAGGAAGAATCACAGAGTTCAGAAAGGCACACTCCCCACCTTTCCTAACTTCTCCCCTTCTACCTCCTTCACATCACGATCTCATGCATTTATCTCTTTCAAACTAAGGAAATAGCGCTATTAACCTATCAGGCGTCCTTGACTGATTGATTGAGGAAAGTTAATTTTATTGAAATAAACTCGACCTCTAGAACCCAAACTGTTAGTAACTCAATCCTTGGAAGCCAGTAACTGCTCTATCCCATGGAATCTCCAGTGGCATACCACATGCAAACCGTCAGATATTTTCTTTCTATGCTGGGCATAGAAATCGAATTGGGTCATTATCTCTACCCTTCTTTGCTCTTCATACCTTTAAAGCTCCCTGAGGAGAAGGATCTGTGAGTTTTCTTGGTTGGTAGCAGAGCATGTGGACATTGGCAAGTTGCCTTGTAAGAAGTGAATTGAAAGACTCTGTAAAGAGAGAAGGAACCAGAAAAGATGATTTGAACAACCCTTCCAGTGTAGTATTCCCTAAGTCCATGATGTCTTTGAAAGGAATGACCATTTAAAGTCTCCTCTAACTGGAGGATTTAGGACTTGGGATTCAGATGCTGCTTCTCAGGAAGTAGATTTGGAACCAAGACCTAGGCTTCCAAAGCTGGTCAATGAGCAGAAGAACCAAGGGTGACTGACGGACAGCAAACATCTTTTAGCGCAATTTGAAGCAATTATTATGTAACTTCCGATTCATCGGAAACCCAGCCCACCAGCAGTAAGATTTTTAAAAGGAATTTGAAGCTGTTCTGCTGTTTAACATGAAATCTGAGGCAGAAATAGGTGTCACGGTCTGTGTCCTTGTTACTACAAATAAGCAGATACACTTCTCTCAAAATATCCAAGGCTTTTGTTGTAGAGCCAAAATTGATCAAAGGTTACTGCAATCTAAAAACAAAGGAAAGAAAGGGAGAGAGAATTCTCCAGTTGCCTGGTTGCTAAGCAACCCTAGTCTGTTCTGGTAACTGGGTCTGGGGGTCTTTGCTTTCATTTGCGGCTGACTTTCACTCCATATATAATATATACCAGCATGTTTATTCTCCTGTAAATGCCCAGCAAATAAAAAGTGATAAAGCCCTTTCACTGAAATTATTCATGTGCTAAAAGCTTTTATCCACATCACTGGTGTGACTGACAATATCATACCAGCAAGCTTCCAGAATTAGTTCTTGTTCTGGCATTGTACTCCTGGGCTTTCTTTCTTTAATAAAAGAAAAAGAGCTGCAGTTTTATTTAAGCTTTCTATAGTCTGGCATTACAGCTCCTCAGTACCAATGATTAAGATGTCATCTCTATTCCAGGCACATTCATTCTTCTAGCGGCTGTCAACTTTCTAGAGAAACTACCTTTTACATGATTTTTCCCCTTTAAAAACTTTGGTTTGCCTCTAGGACTAATCTGCAAAGGAGAATTTGAATGAATTACTTGTCCACTATGGGAGCCTTTTAAGGAAACCTGAATGGCATACAATACTCTCAGCACTGTTTCTCAAAGTGTGTGCCAAAGATCATTTATATCAAAATCAATATTCAGGAATCAGGTCTGGGAATCTGATTTTCCCATTCTTCACCCATCATGCTCTTCTTCTCACCAGGTGATTTTGATGCATGCCTAACTTTGAGCATTTCTGCCTTAAAGAACCTAAATGGTTTTATTTGCATGAGTTAATCAATCCTGGCAAACCTGTATTTTAAAATCAGAGATGGGGGGTGAAGGCTCAGGGTCCCTCAGAAATGACTGACTCTTAGAACTAACACTGTAGGCACTGGCAAGCAGACTGGTCCCCCTTTTGCCAGGGAAGGTTGGCAGGAAGGTTTAGGGGCTCAGCTAGGTCTAAATAAGATTCCACAATGAGACCAGGACCCCAGGGTTAACAGAAAGGTATTTGAAAACAGTAGATAGTAGCCCGGAAAGAAAGTTTCCATTGGTTCAGGTTTGCCCTGGGCCAGTGTTCTTTTACAGAATCAATCATTGGACAGATTCACATCTGTGACTACCATGGTGCTTCTTCTCCTTCTATCAAGTCCTCACAGCCACTAGCCTAGGAGTTAAAGGAATTCTCTTTCTGAGTGGGTCACCATGACCAGTACCCCCGAAGAAATCCTCCAAGCCTTCACAGGCTTCAGGTGGTTTAAATAGTCATTGCATTCACATACTGCCCTCTTTCATCACCATCTTTTATGCAGCATTAATTATTTTTCCTTTTCTTTCATCGAAAAAGCTTTCAACCAGAGAGAATCTTAATTAATTTGAGGAAAGAATAATTTTTCCTGCATCTTGCTGCTTCCAGTCTGTGATTAAAAGGGGCAATTTCAAAGTGGCCATCTTCAAATCTCACATACAATATTGAGTGGTTCTGCTAAATAGCTTTTAGATGTGCTGTTCATGTGTTATTTTGATGAGAGCTGGTGATGGTGTTAATTTCTAAAAGAATATTACAGAATGCTGGGTTCTCTTTCTGACTAAGAGATATCTTTGTGCAACGGGAAGAACTCCTCATTTTGTCAGATTCAATTTAGTAACTGAATGTCATATATTGCTTATGCCCTCTCCTCTTCTGTATGTTCACACACAGGTTGTATGGGCTGTATTTCTTTCACATGCCATATATTTTGCCTTTCCAACTAGATCATAGTCTATTACAGAATAGGGCCAAGCTTTTTCCGAACATAATAGATTGAATTATCTTGATTAAAAGTACCATCTCAATTTTGCTAGCTTGACTAGAAAAGAGAGATTATTTAATTTTCTCTAAAGAATCATGTATGTGGGTCAGGTGCAATGGCTCACACCTGTAATCCCAGATCTTTGAAAGGGTGAGGCAGGAGATCAAGACCAGCCTGGGCAACGTAACGGAACCCAGTCTCTACCAAAAAATATATATACATATATTTTTTAATTAGCCAGGTGTAGTCCCAGCTACTCAGGAAGCTGAGGCAGGAGGATCACTTGAGCTCAGAAGGTTGAGGCTGCACTGAGCCGCTATGGCACCATTGCACTCCAGTCTGGGCCCCAGAGTGAGCTATGAGGTCCTGTCTCTCTCTTACTCTTTCTCTCTCTCTCATGCACACACACACACACACACACGCACACACACACAGAGAAAGAGAGAGAGAGAGAGAGAGGGAGAGAGAATCATATATGTTTCATGGCTTCTATGGAGACTGTAACTAGAAATGGAAACTCATTCTGACCCCAAGAGGTGAGCATGCTGGGGTTCAAGAAATTAAATGATCTCTCTTTTCTAGTCAAGCTAGCAAAATTGAGATGGTACTTTTAATCTAGATGACCCAATCTATTATGTTAGGAAAAAGCTTGGCCTCACTCAGAAATAGACTATGAGTGGGTGTCATCTGCCATTAGAGGGTTGGCAAAGCCAGGGTATAAGTGAAGTTACCCAGGGAGAGAGCATAAGGTGAAACAGGAATGAGAACCTGATTTTTGAGCAATACTATTCAGTGTTTACATGGAGACTTCAGCAAGAAGTGTTTCTGTGGAGTGATGGAGATAGAAGCTAGGAGAGGTGAGATATGAAACCAGGGTGAAGAACTAGAAATAGTAAATATGGGCAAGACTTTTTTTTTAACTTCAATTTCCAGGATACATGTGCAGAACAGGCAGGTTTGTTACATAGCTACATGCGTGCCATGGTGGTTTGCTGCACCTATTGACCCGTCCTCTGAGTTCCCTCTCCTTGTCCCTAAACAGGCCCTGGTATGTGTTGTTCCCCTCTCTGTGTCCATGTATTATCATTGTCAACTCCTGCTCATGAGTGAGAACATGTGGTATTTGGTTTTCTGTTCTTATGTTAGTTTGCTGAGGATGACAGCTTCCAGCTTCATCCATGTCCCTGCAAATGGCATGATCTCATTCCTTTTTATGGCTGCATAGTATTCCATGGGGTATATGTACCACATTTTCTTTATCCAGTATATCATTGATGGGTATTTGGGTTGGTTCCATGACTTTGCAATTATAAATAGTGCTGTGATAAACATATGTGTGCATGTGTCTTTATAGTGCAATGATTTATATCTTTCAGGTATATACCCAGTAATGGAATTGCTGGGTCAAATGTTATTTCTGGTTCTAGATCCTTGAGGACTCACCATACTGTCTTCCACAATGGTTGAATTAATTTACACTCCCATCAGCAGTGTAAAAGCATTCCTATTTCTCCACAGCCTCACCAGCATTTACTGTTTCTTAATGTTTTAGCAATCACCATTCTGAGTAGCTTGAGATGGTATCTTATTGTGGTTTTGATTTTCATTTCTCTAATGATCAGTGACGTTGAGCTTTTTTTCATATGTTTGTTGGCTATGTAAATGTCTTTGAGAAGTGTCTGTTCATATCCTTTGCCCACTCTTTGATGGGATTTTTTTTCTTATAAATTTGTTTAAGTTTCTTGTAAATTGTGGATATTAGACATTTGTCAGATGGATAAATTCCAAAAAAATTTCTCCCATTCTGTAGGTTGCCTGTTCACTCTGATGATAGTTTATTTTGCTTTGCAGAAGCTCTTTAGTTTAATGAGATTCCATTTGTCAATTTTGGCTTAACTTGTTGCCATTGCTTTTGGTTTTTTCGTCACGAAGTCTTTGCTAATGCCTATGTCCTGAATGGTATTGCCTAGGTTTTCTTCTAGGGAAAATTATGGAATGTGTCACGAATTTGCATGTCATCCTTGCACAGGGGCCATGCTAATCTTCTCTGTATTGTTTTAAATTTAGTATCTATGTTGCCGGAGCAAGCACAGCAAGGCTTTTAAGAGGTATGTCTACAGACTGGGCATGGAGGTTCATGCCTGTAATCCCAGCAATTTGTGGGGCTGAGGTGAAAGGATTGCTTGAGTTCAGGAGTTCAAGACCAACCTGGGCAACATGGCAAAATCTTACCTCTACAAAAAGTGAAAAAATTAGTCAGGTGTGGTGGCACATGCTTATAGTCCCAGCTACTCAGGAGGCTGAGGTGGGAGGATGGCTTTAACCTGACAGATAGAGGTTGCAGTGGGCCATGATCACATCGCTGCACTCCAGACTGAGTGACAGAGCCAGTTCCTGTCTCAAAAAAAAAAAAAAAAAAAGGAGTTTGTCTACAAAAGGGAGGAAAGAACAAGAGTGGTAAATGAACAGGACCAGGATCAAGGAAGTTTTCTCTCCCAAGTTTAGAATGATCCCATCATACAAATGGAAAATTCTGTAGATATTCTAAAGAACATCTTCTTTAAATATGTACACTCCCCCACCCTACCCCACTCCCACATATACACATGTGAACCCTGAAAGATCCAATCCTTCAGGATGGATTCTGAGTGGTTAATTACACCTAAATTCAGAATAGAGGAAGATCTATTCTGTACTCTGAATTCCCAGAAAACCCACATTTGTGTAACTTTGGCACTTTTATAGCTGTCTGTTCCTGCTTACACCACCTGAACTAACCAATAGGCTGTAGTTCAGTGACCTGCAACAACCAATCATAACTCAGCATTAACCAGTCAGAACTAAGCAAGTCTATATCCTTCATTTGCGTAAGTAAATCAGAGTGGGAACCAAGCAGAAACTTTCTCTATAAAAGACAATCTCTCCCTTTGTTTTCTGGACTGCACTTTCATTTTTTGCTGAAGGCTGCATCTACCTATTTTGCAAAGTGTTCACTGGAATCTATGAAGCACTTCAGTACTTGGTCTTTCTTGCAGAAAAATTCTCTGGATGAAAAGGTAAAATCCAAAGATAATGCGTTACCATCACCATTTAGCCCAGCTACTGTGGTTGATGGGCCAGTCACACAATGACACTTGAAATGCCTCTCCTGAGAAGGGCCTCCTTCCACAGGGAATGGTGGACCCAACCCCCTGATGCAAGTAGTCCTAGGACTCATATAACCCTTGTCCCATGATATTTCAGAGGGCTAATTCCATCAGACTCCAAAGCCCTGTGCTTTTCATCTCATATCAAAAGACCCCATAGTACTTCCTGTGTATTTCTAAGCAGTAGTTTGCACCATCTGTTTTTAAGTCGGACGAACAGGTCCAGGGAATTGTAATTTGCCACTAACAATGGCAGAGTTGGACCTGGACCCCACATGCCCCAAGGCAGCACCAGGGTCCTCCGGCAAAATAGATGGGCTGCTTCATTCCCTCTCTTGGTGACAATGGCTTCATTCTTGACTCGAAGCAAACATTAACACAAAAAGCTCTGATAGGTTACTTGTCCATACCACAGCCACATCCATTATATTACAAATGAGGAAAACTGAGGTGCAGAGAGGATCAATGACTTAAGTGCACCAGGCTAGATCTAAAACCAAAACCTCTCACCCTCAGACCAGCATATTTTTGTCTGCAACAAGCACCAGCATGCATGCATAGCAGACAGGCCTGGTGTATCCCAGTGGCTCAGCAGAAAGGAGTTAAGACCCACTTTTCTTAAAAACCTTACAGCCCTCCAGAGACATGACATTATCCAACGTACTCCCTCTGGAAGAGCCCTGAGTTTCCTGAGCTAGAAATATTGAGTCCTGTGAGGCTTCCTCTCAGAGCTGAAGAGCAGCTAATGAAGTTTCACATCCATGCTGAGTTTGACCTAAAAAAAAAGTTTGAACTTTTAGGCTAAGCTTTTTCTTGCTTCAATCTTAATGAGCCAACAAGGCCTTTCAAGAAAAAAGTTCCCACAAATGGAGACTGTTGAGGCATCAGTGGTCACTTCTGATCACCACGGAGACCCCCAAACCAGTACATCCCTAGCTTCCACAGGGGCAGGACTGCCTCGCCCTCCTGCTCCATCTTCTCCAAAGATGAGATGCCTCTGAGTCCACCAGTTTTAGTGACCACTCAGCACTCAAAGTCTACTCCCCTCACATTCAACCCAACTTGGTTCCTTTGTGGGCTTTGCTACTGCCAAGACCCAATTTTTGCCAGTCTAGAATATTTCAGTGGCTTACATTTTTTTCTCTTATCCCAACTTCTCATGGCCTATAGCCCTCTGTTCCCTACCATGATCCCAGGAAGTTCCATCTGAACATCTTGAAACTCCTCCTCAGTTTCTGTAGCAGGTGCTCTGCGGGCTTCTCCCATCACCTCACTCTCCAAGGCCACTTTCATTTCTAAGATGTTTGTTTAAAGCTTTCAGGGAAATTAAAGGGCAAGTTTTTACACAAAGTAATGTGACTTATGCCCTTTAGGCCCATCGCCTCCCCTGCTTTGCTGCCCATTCTCCCTAAATCTTTGCAACCTGATCAACCTTATTGCCTGTCACCATTACATTAACTGAAACTGTATTCTTTAAGGTTAAATCTCAAGTACTTTGTCTAACCACCCTGTTCTCATTTCTGAACAGCATTTGACACAGTTGACAACTCCCCCACCAACCCTTGCCCTCCCACGCATACACACAGGTGCACACACAGGCGCACATTCTCCCTTAAAATTCTCTACCTGGTTTTTGTAGCTTTCTCTGCAACCTTTCTGCCACCTCTCTTGCTCCAGTCTGATGATTTTCAAACCTGTACCCTCAGAGGCTCTCAATCTTAACATATCTAAAACCAAACCCATGGTCTTTTTTTGAAACCTACTTTCCTGTGTCTTGAGTGTCATTACCATCTTCCAGCCTACCAGACTGGATACAAGGAGCCATCTTTGTCTCCTTCCTATTTTCAACCCCCATATTTAATTAGTCCCCGAGTCCTGCCAATTCTTCCTTCAAAATGTACCCTAAACTTAGGCCATCATCTTCATTATTACTCTGTTCTCCCTTTCTAATCCATGTAGCCCATCTCTGATAGATTAACCCCTTTAACATACTCATCGTGCCTCATCAATGGTGACTCCTATTTCCCACATGAAACTAAAGTTCTTGCTCTAAACTTAAAATGCCCGAACATGCTGGCTTTATTCTGCTCAATCACCCTGATTTCTCATTACTCTAACTCATAAATTCTTTGCTGCAGTCAAACTCTACTTGTTACATTTCTCCCGTCATGCAGATGAACATGATTTGCACTGCCACCACCACCACCTGGTTGGTGGTCCTTTGCTTTGCACGGAAAGCACCCTGCCCCTCTCCATTTTGCCTCATCTTATTCCTGCAGGGCCCTGTTCAAGCCTCACTTCCTCCCTCAGGGCAGTTGGTGACACCTGGACATCCCAATCTTATCTTTAATTCTTCTTGCTCTCTCTGCTGATGCTTCTTATATTAGTACATAGTGCTAGTTGTTTTATGATGGGTGTAAGTATTCAATTCAGCATACATTGAAGATTTATTTTGACCAAGTCACCAAGCTAAGAAATACAAAGGTGGGGAGGGGATACAAAAATTATTTTTAATAGTCTGTACCAGTGACAGGCTTGCGGGTAGGAAGGATTCTGGTTTTGTTATAATCCCTCTCAGCCACCCTCCCATTCTTTAACATAAATAATTTATGTTTCTTCAATTTTAGGTAAAAGCTATGGAGCCAATACAGGTGCAGCATTCCCTTCCACCCAGTGGCAATTCTGGTACCTCCCTTGTTCTGTTAATAGACCAAAAAGAAAAAGCTGTTATTATGTTGAGTATTTACTGACCACTATGTAATACAGTTAGAAATCCAAAACAAATAGATAACCACAAAAAAATCTGAAAACAGATTTTCAAATAACCCCCAAGCTTGAGAAGAAATACAGGAAAATCACAAACTGTTTACAACTCAAGAACACTATATGACATAACTTACAGGATGCAGCCAAAGTGGTACTTCGAAGCCAATGAATAGCAATAAAGAAGTTTATTAGCATAAAATATTGACGTTAAATGAACTCAACTTTCAAATCAGGAAGTACAAAAATGAGAACGACAACAAAATGATCAAAGGAAAGTAGAAGAAAGGAAGTAAAAACAATTTTAAAAGAAAGTATAAATTAATCAACAAAAACAAAGCTGGTCCTTTGACAAGACCAACCTTTTACAAATTTCACTAAGAAAGAGAGAAAGTGTACAAACACATCAGACCTGAGAAAAGCAAGAAGTTAAATTTCAGCCTGAATTTCCGTTACAAAGCAGGAAACTGTGCAGTCTGAGGCAAGTTTCTTAACTTCTCAACACAGACCCACCATCTGCAAAATGCAGGAAACAAACAAAAAAATCCTATCTCAAAAGTTGTTGTCAGATGAGAAAGCATATGCAAAGGACATAGCACAATGTCTGGCTCACAGAAACAGACAACAAGCAGTGCTATCATAATGGCATTTTTTCTTTCTTTTTTATTATACTTTAAGTTCTGGGGAACATGTACAGAACATGCATGTTTGTTACATAGGTTAACACATGCCAGGGTGGTTTGCTGCATCCATCTCCCCATCATCTACATTATATATTTCTTCTAATGTTATCCCTCCCCAACCCCAATCCCCACCCCCACCCCCTGCTATCTCTCCCCTAGGCCCCCCTCCCCCAACAAGCCCTGGTGTGTGATGTTCCCCTCCCTGTGTCCATGTGTTCTCATTGTTCAGCACCCATAATGTATTTTAGTGTCATAAACCTAAAAGAATAGAGTAGTAGGTCTTAGTCCTGGGTTTGTATCAGGATTACCTATGATGATTTTTTAAATTCATGTTGAATGATTATTTTTATTATTGGGAAAGTCTAATTTTCTCACCACAGGAATCATTTTTTAATTCACCAAACTCTATTGTCAACACAACTATGTTCCATAGATACACCCAAACTTGGAGCTTTCTCATTTGGTAATCTTTTTTCCCAGGTTTTTTTTTTTCTTTCTG